ACACAGCCATTACCGAACCGGGCTGCTAGGAAACCTGTATGTGATCACCACCACTGATCATTGTCACCCAACGCAAGACTCTGGGAAAGTACATCCCTTCCAATGCCCAGGAAGCAATCCTGCCTTCTTTCACACACCACTGCCTGTTTTTCCCTGGAGGCAGGGCAGTGGTAGGCTCCAGACATATTTCCTTTGGAATTGGAGGCTACAGTACAACCCTTCCATGATATTGCTCTACCTGGCAATGAGCGACCCCTGTGATGTCTCCTCAAATACAGGAATTAACACATGAGCATGTCCAATCTCCATGAGGAACTTCTTTCTGTATCATGAAAAATAAAGTCTCTAGGCAAAGAGAGAGGACAGAGCCCTCCATCCATCATTGTGACAAAAAAGCACACACTGTGATTTGTGACTATGCCATAGTAATGTTTGCCTTCTCTCTGCCAACCAGGGAGGTCTGAATAGACATAGACTAGACACACTGAGAACTTGCACACATGGATGGTGACCGAATCTAAAGGAGAGAAAACAATTAAAATGTCCAGTGGCCCCCGCGCGCACCGCACAGCTGAGTGGCCTCTGTGCACGATGTCAGCAGAGCTCAGCATTGTGGTCTCAGAGGTCTCACATGAGCGGAAACTTTTATAGAGAGACATCCCGTATCCATCCGTCCGTGTGGAATTAACCCATTTCCCAGTTAATTAAACGCGCGGACACTTCACCCATGAGTGGATAAATATAAAACAAAAAACTTTCTGATATGCATTTTCTTGGCATTAAGTCAACGAGGAACAGGCTCGTTTGTTTGTGCATAAATTGGATACCAGAGCACAGGTGTAAAATAATGTGGCCATAATATAATTCAGATGTCATTATGGAGACGCTACAGATCACCTGTCTCCATAATGACATCTGAATTATATTATTGCCACATTATTTGGGGCCATCTAATTTCTATTTGTGGAAATTCGAATTTCATTAAACATAATTGTCTCGTTTTTTGTGCAATTTCAAGGTCATGATGCAAAAAACTGAAAATTATTGATCTATGGACATAATCAAGTGAATGTAAAAAGGTTTTCGAGGATAAATGCATTTCAGGTTCACTTTGTTGATGTCTTCAAATGAACACATAGAACAGGTGGCAAAACTAGACTACACAAATTGACGCAACATTTGGAAAAGTTTGTCACTCACCTTGTCAAAGTTGTGACTAAAAAGTATAACAGATGCAAATGTCTCATCTCTAATTTCAATCTAAAAAGTGTGCATGTTTTCCCAATGACATCTCAATAAACGTTTCCTCTCAACATAAGACAGTTAACTGAAGTCTCGCTCTCTCAGTAGCTAGATAACCGCAGCGTGGAGATCCGTGCACCAGCCAGTCTGTGATGCTCGGGTGAATTAATCCCTTTTTCAAAGTGTAGTGGAGGCATGGAGACTACGATGTGGCTAATACCCCTGCCTGGACAACTCTGACTAGATGCGTTCTTACCTCATTCTATATAGTAGTATCTAGTTGCTGTACTTATGCGCCTGGGGCAGGGCAGGGTCCAGTATAAATTATGGTAAAACTTTTTTTTACACATTGTTGAACAAATGCGCCCTCCTCTGGGCATTTAAGCATGGTACATTACAGAAAAGCTGCGCTCCATCTCTATAGATCTTATATAAATCTGAATTCAGTGAGTTCAAGACAACAAAAACGGGAAAAAAACGTTTTGAACGTCATCCAATTCGGAATTCCAAGTGCCTCTTTCTAGAGCTCCAACCTGAAGATCACTGACGTCATCATGATTCGACCTTGTTTTTTTCCGAGTTCCCAGTTGTCTTGAAAGCACCATAAATCCATAGAAGGTCAGTTTGATGACAAAATTTGCCAATGACAGCCTCGCCACCTTCCTGTTCAAGTGGGCACAGCACAAAAAGGTGAGTCCAAAAATGTATTGTATGCTGCTGCATAGATGATGTAATATGCCAGGGAGATATGTATACTGTAGTTAAGAAAGTAATACTAATTGTATGTTTTGTAGTAAGCTGTTAGTAGCCCATGTGCCTCACCCTAATAATTTGGTCTAATTTTGCCTACTGTTCCGCTGATTGCCAGGTGTAGCAGTGTTAAGGTGTTGGGACTGCTGTTGGGACTCTGCTGTTAAGACAGCTTTATGTAGGCCCTAACAGTGTGTGGGCACCGTTTGTCACGTTATAGTGCAATTAATGTATTAGTGTTGTGTTGTGTTGTGTAATGGGTTTGCTGGCATGCATCTAAAAAACGTTTTTTGTTTGCCCCACCAAGATTTACATGCGAAAATCGCCACTTGATAGGTCTATAATTTATGAGGAAAAATAATGAACTATTCTCTATTGAAAGCCTGCAAAATAGATAAAATAGCGTAACGTTAATATGTCTTTAGGCTTGTGGTGTAAACATGACTCTGTAGGCAGAGTAGCCTAAATGAAGCATGGTCGTCATAAAATACCTTTATTGCCTCTGCATGAAATATGATTTTTATTTGGATGGTTCTGGCTGTGGTCCAAGATCACCTTTTAGGAAGAGTTCCTTCCACATGATGGAGCCCTCGAGTAGTGGTTATTCCTCCAGGCAGGTGTGCACCAGACCAGCACCAGCCACAGCCACAGCCACTGCAGCACGCGGGCTTGACTGACTCCGAGACAGGAAGGGTTGGGCACAATGGGCAGGTAAGAGGCAGATATGACTGCCGATAAAACGATTAACTGTACTTGATTAAACACTACAATAACTATTAACGTTACTTTTACTATCATGAATGTCAAGTCTAGTGCATATAAGTGCATAATACGAAGGCAGGTAATAGACAAGGACTACTAAAGTTTGCCTTACCTGCGCCAGGCCTACTTTACAAATGCGACGTGGTAGCATTTACAGTAGAGTTTATAGTAGTAGTACTAGTAAATAAATAGTTACAATAGAATAGGCTACCGATTAGTTTCACCAGTTTTCTGTCCATTGTCTGTCTTTATCAACAGTTTGCACTCATTGCAGTACACTTGCTGTGAATGGCATAGGCTACTATTACTGTACTGAATAGCATACAGTATGATGTGCAGCAAAATAGAAATCAAAACGACAACCATACCTGAAATAAAGTTATATCATTAATTAAATGTGTACCTGTGTAGAATTTGAAAGGTTATATAATATAATGTCATTGAAATGACCATGAGTAGTAGAATTTGGGAAGTGAATATGTTCTGTGGTATTGTATATCACATTTAGCAGACGCTCTTATCCAGAGCGACTTACAGGAGCAATTAGGGTTAAGTGCCTTGCTTAAGGGCACATCGACAGATTTTTCACCTAGTCGGCTCGGGGATTAGAACCAGCGACCTTTCGGTTACTGGCACAACGCTCTTAACCACTAAGCTACCTGCCGCCCACAAGATGGTGTATTTGTCACGTTGGGCACATGTTGTACAGTAAAAACCCACTGGGAGTTGTGTTGGCAAAAGACTGTATCTGACTATAAGATATATACTTATTGTTTACCCAGGTCCAGCAAAACATGAGTAGGCCTACATACAACAGCTGTTGAAGGTATGTTAAATTACTTGGCAAGTTTGATTAATTAGCTGAGCAAGGTGCACCTATGCACTTGACTCTGATGACGACCTCTCAGAGAGATTTATCAACTCCATCTCTCCTTTTCCTTCCCGTTTCTCTTACTGTCTCGTTCTATCTTTATTCTACGCACCATACAATGTTTGTTGAACCGTTTTCCTATAACATTCCAGGCCCGCAGCGTTTACTCAAAAACGTTTATTTAATATTTGATTTGGTCTGAGTCTTAAACCTCAGTGAAATTTACTCCAAACCGTGTTGCCTCATACTCCGTCTGGTCTGTGGTCGGGTCTCCAAGAGTTTGTGAAAACAAAGAGAAAGGAACTCTCTCTGCCCAAGGGGAGATTTGGGGTCGGGAGGATGTATTTTTCACCACTTAGATCCTATCTCTCCATTATCCTGTGATTAATCCGGATATATTGTAAGAAATTGAATACTCTCAACTTCATCTTTGAATCACACAAAACATTGAGTTACACACACCAGTCATTAATGCACTGGGTCAGAGTATGTGGTTTCATGTGGGTTTGATCAGGAAGATGGAGATGCAATCCTTCTGGAAAGCAGCAAGACTGATAAAGGTGTTTCTCTGATGAGATTATGTTTCATACATGATGTTGTGGTGTGATTTGTGTACAGATGTCAAAGTCTAATCCCACAGCCCCTAGCACTCGGGAACAGATCCTACTGCAACATTTCATACAGTGCTTACAGCTTTCTTTGCATAGGCAGGAAAAACTCACATTTACAATTTAGTCGTTTAGCAGACGCTCTCATCCAAAGCGATTTACAGTTAATGCATTCATCTCAAGATAGCTAGGTGAGACAACGACATATCAGTCATAGTAATTAACGTTTTCTCAATAAAGAAGTTATCAGCAAAGTCAGTACTAGTAGGAAAAGTCAAGTGGAATTGTTTAATGTATTTACTATACAAGCAGAGGTTTCCTGCTTTCCCTGCCCTCTTAATGAAAGGTTTCTCATGGGAGCTCGTTCCTGCCAACATCATAGATTAGTCTCTTCATTAAATCAGTAAAACATTCCTATATTTCCAACATGGCAAAAACAAGTGCCCCACAGCATGTAAAGGCCAAATAAACATTGATGCAGCTCTATAAAAGTATTTCCTCAGGGGATATGGCTGAGGAAATAGTCCTATAATGAAGTTGACATACAAAAGCAACCATCTCACTGTCATAACATTAACGACTGCAGTATTCTGTTTTTTTCCTAGGATATTGTATAATTAATCAACTTCAAATTGTCATTGCCAATTTTTGAGAAATGTATCTAAGTAAGGGATGCATAGTGTGATGCTGTTCTCAGATTTATACTAGATACTAATGACTTTCTCCTTCCCTGACATATACAGTGCAGCCCAGATAATATTGCCACAATGAGCGTCCCCAAAAGGGTCTCCCTCTGGACCGTGGTGGATGTGTTTGACTGGGTCAAGGAGCAGTACCCCTACCAAAAGAGTGTCCTCCAACTGGCCGTCTTCAAGCATGACATATCCGGTAGCTATCTTCAGTAACCCCTCTACTTACCAAATGTTGCCTTAGTACAAAACAACCCATGGTCATGTACATCAGACATCATTAATAGACTGCTATTATTTTTCTTAAAGTGAATATATGTGATATTTTATCCCAGGCTGTATAAGTATTGGATGCCTGTAGACAGTTCCGGACCCCACATAATGACATGGATCATTCATCTTCCCAGTTACTGTTAATTCTCTACTAACCACACAGCTCATTCACAGTGTCAATACTGTTGTAATGTTCCATCAGTAAATCCTTGTCAGAAGCTGACCAAAAACATGCAGTAAAAACAACTGTTGTATGACTAATAAAACCTTGTGTCCTAAGACTTAGATCCTGGGACCGTAGTTTTGCCCACCGTGGTTTCCTGCGTTGGGGTTAAATGCATTTGAATTCAAGTTAATTTAGGAATGGAATTTGACACATAATTCAAGTTCATCATGTAATTTGAATTCCATTCCATTTGAAATCCATGCACCCAGCCTGAATTGACTGGCATCATTTTGCTTCCAACTCTAGTAGCCTCACCTCACCACCTCTCTTGCCTTCTTGCTCTGTCCCTCCCCAGGCCGAGCTCTGCTGAGGATGGGTAAACACCAGTTGGAGAGGATGGGGGTGGAGGGGGAGCATCTTCAGGAGATCCTACTGGACATTCTTCTCCTCAGGGTCCAGGAGGAACTGGAGAACCTCAATGACATCTTCTCTGGTGAGGGACAAACATCCATCTGACAGGCTCCTTTATAACTGTATCAGGAATTCAGTTGTAGCCTATATCAACAACTTCTTCTCTGTGGGAGAACTAACATTACTTTATTGTCTAAAACTGCATCATAAAGGGACAGACATCTACTGTGTCCTCTTAGATTGCATCAGGAGTTCACTTGTACACTCTTAGGAAAAAAGGGTTCTATCTAGAACCTAAAATGGTTATTCGGCTGTCCCCATAGGAGAACCCTTTGAAGAACCCTTTTTGGTTCCAGGTAGAACCTTTTTAGGTTCCATGTAGGACCCTTTCCACAGAGGATTCTACGTGGAACCCAAAAGGGTTCTACATGTAACCAAAAAGGGTTCTCCCTGGAACCAAAAAAAGGTTATCCTGTGGAGACAGCCGAAGAACCCTTTTGGAAGAGTGTAGCCTATATCAGTTGGCTCATATGAACTCAGACAAGGCAAATACCCAAAGTGAGTCATACAAGATTGCATTATCAGCCAACATGATTGACAGACATGTATTTCATCAAGAGGGTTAGCTTAGAGACACCTGCCAAGAATAGATTGGCATCGAATGAGAAGAGAGAGAAGAGAAAGCCTCTGATGTACAGTACTATTTAACTGAACTGAAAATAAAATAAATCAATTGACATTGTTTGGCATGGATACAAGATAGCTATAGATGAAATAAGTTCAAGTTCAAAATATAGATAAAATAAGTTCACCATGGTCTTTGTTCACAGTGTGGTACGTATGCTTGCATATTTTAAATGTATTTTTAACCAAATGTATTTTTATCTCTCGTTCTCTAGAGTGTTTCTCTTCATGACTATAACAGAAGAAGAGGTCTGAGATGTCCTTATTTTGTCCATCTACGGTGTGGAGGACTAGAGAAGAAAAAATACATTTGCTCTCAGTAATCGTTGACCTGAAGAAGGCCGCCAGATTGGTTTTGGCACGGTTGTATTTTCACTGACACTTCTGTGAATCAAGCCCTTGCCTCTCGCTCTGCGCTGCTCTTGTGGTCTTATTTTTCACAATACTTAATACACTATGTGGCAGCTATTGCAGAGGGAGAACATCATTCCCCACTTGAACAGGGGATACAGTGCATCCCTCATCTGGACTAAATGTTGCAATCCCGTACCCAGCACTGATTTGACTAGCTAATGGCCTGTTATATTACTCTCAGGAGACCCTGTGTGAATGGAGAGTAAGTAAATTAGTCCTGAGTTTAATGCAGGGACACATGGCCATAATTTAGATAACAAACCAAATGCTGCTCCAACCTATTAGGCCCTATGCAGGGAACGTAATGGGGATCATTTAATGGGAGGTTTCTGGCAGAGACAAAATGGCTTTAAAGTTTGATGTATTTGCTTATATAGTTTGATGTTGGAGTAAGAATGTTGTGTCCTCTGACTGAAAGTGATGTCGTCTTTGTTTAGCTTTTGTTGCTCCACACCTCATGTTTGTAAGACGTCAGCAGAGTTTTTCTGTCTGTCAAATACAATGCAACGACTAACACATCTTTAAATGGAACACAACTACCGTAATTTTCTGACTATAAGCCGCGCCTTTTTTCCTATTTTTCGACCCTGCGGTTTATATAACGGTGCGGCTAATCTATGGATTTTTACAGCTAACGGCCACTAGAAGACCTCCTAAATCTATGGATTTTACAGGTTAAAGTCCACCAACTTTAACTCTATGGGCTCTATGACCGGTCTGCGCCCCCCACAATAAATGGGAGCTTCCTCAAGCAGCCATCTCTTTCCCGACAATCCCCTCTGTGCACGAACCCTTACATATGGTAATTAAACATTAAAACACCTGCGGCTTATAGTCCAGTGCGGCTTATATATGTACACATCATTCAATTTAGCTGCTGCGGCTTATACTCCGGTGCGCCTTATAGTGCGGAAAATACGGTACATATAGAATCCCTCCAGTATGACTATCCAGCTAGGAATGTGCTCTATGCAGAAATGTCCTATTTTATTTGTTCCTGGATCATATTCATATTAACAGTTCATTGTGTAATCATGTGTGTATTACAAGTGCTTGCTTAAATTGCTCAGAGATAGCGGTTTTGCAAATTAAGTGGAGCAAATAAAAGTGCTACGTTTGCAAATACTAAGTCTTTTTATATTTCAAATCCTCCTTCCTCAGAGAAATCCCTCCCCAGACTTAAATGTCCTGTCCATTGTATAATGATAACGTTTGTTTGCTCCAGTTTGAAGTATTTTAATGAATCACTGAGGTTCACCACATTTCATTAGAGACTACATGCACATGAAAAACTGCAGGATTGTCAAATCTAAAGCTCATACAGTACCTTAGCAAAGCATACAATGCAGTTCAACTCCAAACCACTATACCTGTATTATAGTGAAATGTTTTCATAAACAGGGAGCGCTATGTTTAGACATCCATATGCTATATCCAGCCTAGAACACAGGAGATAAACAAGTTGTTCCAGTGAAGAGACAAGGATGAAATGTCACACGGGTGTGTACCCTATTTTGTGGATTAATCTGACCTGACACCTCATATTTGCTAATGAAGACCAAATCTGATCATTGTTCATTTGAAATAATTGTCTTCACTGATAATTATATAAAAATCAATGTGTAGAATCAGCCAGTGGCCTAAATCTTGAGAGACATACTAGTGCCCTCAGACAGTGTCCATTTGTCTCTTTTACATGACTCGTCACGATACATCTTCCCACTTCCCCACAAACTTGTCAGACCACCCAAACTTAAAATCTTCTACTTTTAAAGGGCAGCCAAAAAACAGAGGACAGCAGAAAGCAAGCAAAAACACGTTGCTCTGTGAAAGTAACACCTCTAGGGGAACATTTTTCTTTTTCTTTGTGTAGTAATCCAGCTTCTGAAAAGTACAGCCCAGACCTGGCCAGGCCTGCTGAATCTGATGTGCCCCATAAAAGGACTGTTTACATTTCCTCACCTTCCATGGACATTAGCAAGTGCTGAGCCTGTGGCTCTAGGGTCCCAGTTGGGGGCACACCAAATTAGACAGGCTGATTAATGTCCCTCAGAGGTGCATGGCATTTGATTTCCTCCATTCAGGGCAATGGTGCATCAGGAAAGCGCTGACTTACATTAAATGTAAATATACCTCGGGGAGAGACACTTAATCATATATGACAGGAGGGCTTCCAGAATATTCCAAAGGTTAGCAAATCATGCCTTTGACCCAAAGAGATGGAAAGAAAAGAAACATGGAACCAAATTTTGTGTTGTTTGGCATGCAACAAATGATGGGTTGAACAAAGAGAAAGGACTACAATGGGTTTCTGTAACCTCTTTGGCTTGTTTATTTTTTACTCAAATTTAAGTTCAAGAAGGCAATCAGGGTTTTGTTAACGTGGAGTCCAGTGGAGGCAGCTGAGGGGAGGACGGCTCATAATAATGTCTGGAACGGAGCGAATGGAATGGCATCAAACACATGGAAACCATGTGTTGGATGTATTTGATACCATTCCCCTGATCCGCTCCTGCCATTACAACGCTGGCTCATATCAAATTAAGGTGCCACCAACCTCCTGTGGTGGAGTCTCTGGTCTGTCTTATATTCCATACCTAATAGACACCCAGTTGGTGTAAAGAGAGTAGGCCATGTAAAGGCCTGGCTAAAACCTATACTTTCTTCTGCGAAGACATAATGCATCTCCAGTCTATTGTCTGCACCACTGGATCAATCTTTAATGCAGGCAGCAGATAAAATAGGGAAGCTTTGTAGTAACTACTTAATTATTAAGGGTTGGTTGAACTTTTCATATGACTCTCTGATTCTCATTTTAGTTGAACATTTATCAAGGTTACTCGAACCAGGTGTCAAGTAAGGGTTATAACTTACTGATTCTTCATTATGCAGCTACAAAGATATGTATTTCCTATCTTAAATTCATGACATGATCTTATTGCTCAGGTAACAATCTTAATTCAGGCGGTGTACTGTAGCAAGGCTGCATGGCAGAGCATACAACTCACAGATTATCCTCAAAGATTACAACTCACAGATTATCCTCACAGATTACAACTCACAGATTATCCACACTGAGACGGACAGACCATCAGAGGAGTGCCATTGTACAGTACCAGTCAAAAGTTTGGACACACCTACTCATTCAAGGGTTTTTATTTATTTTTTATTATTTTCTACATTGTAGAATAATAGTGAAGACATCAAAACTATTAAGTAACACATATGGAATCATGTAGTAACCAGAAAAGTGTTAAACAAATCAAAATATATTTTATATTTGAGATTCTTCAAATAGCCACCCTTTGCCTTGATGACAGCTTTGCACACTCTTGGCATTCTCTCAACCAGATTCAACTGGAATGCTTTTCCAACAGTCTTGAAGGAGTTCACACATATGCTGAGCACTTGTTGGCTGCTTTTCCTTCACTCTGCGGTCCGATTCATCCCAAACCATCTTAATTGGGTTGAGGTCGGGGGATTGTGGAGGCCAGGTCATCTGATGCAGCACTCCATCCCTCTCCTTCTTGGTAAAATAGCCCTTACACAGCCTGGAAGTGTGTTGGGTCATTGTCCTGTTGAAAAACAAATGATAGTCCCACTAAGCCCAAACCAGATGGGATGGCGTATCGCTGCAGAATGCTGTGGTAGCCATGCTGGTTAAGTGTGCCTTGAATTCTAAATAAATCACAGACAGTGTCACCTGCAAAGCACCCCCATCCTCCATGCTTTACGGTGGGAACAACACATGCAGAGATCATCTGTTCACCCACACAGCGTCTCACAAAGACACGGCAGTTTGAACCAAACATTTCCAATTTGGACTCCAGAACAAAGGATTGGCTCAAACGCATTAAGAAGGAAAGAAATTCCACAAATTAACTTTTAAGAAGGCACAGCTGTTCATTGAAATGCATTCCAGGTGTCTACATTACATTACATTACAGTCATTTAGCAGACGCTCTTATCCAGAGCGACTTACA